GTTCAGAATCGTTTTTCGTATACAATGATACCTATCATTACATTCAAATTTAACCTACCCTAGTCAGAGCCTCAGAGGTCCACCCCGCCCCCTAATGTACAGCAGAGCGACATCCACTTACCCGATTTTTTTAAAATAAAGTTAAACAAATCGGTTAAAAAAATTTAAATATTACAAATAACAAATTATTTTTTTACAAAGTATTGTGAAGTAGTAACAATAACCAACTAAAAAAAAAGATTTCGGGGGGAGGGGGGCGTGCCCCCAGTGCCCCCTCTCTGGCTACGGCACTGATACGAAATATCTAAATATTGGTGGTATTAAAATATAGCTGTCATGCATTGGAGAGTTGTTTCTTGGTAAATAAATTCATGAGTATTAATTTTTGTAACTTAAAGATAACTTTATTTTATGGCTTCCACTTGAACTGATTTTTAAGTATATTAGGTAGGATATTATATTTTTCTTACAACACTCCACTTGTATTTGTACAAGTTTCAATTTGTTAATGTAGTACAAAATATCTATACCAAGAGAAAATTAAAATTTGGTATAACAGACTAAAATACCACCCGTAATATTGAATTTTTTTATATAATTTATTGACTCGCTCCCTACACGAATATAGGAAAAAAAGACCAAAGAAAAAAATAACAAAATAAAATAAATTTAACGTTTGTTAAATGACCATCAAAAACCACTGTACGGAATCGTATTTCATCAATGTTACTTACGAATTTCACTATTACAGGTTGTTAGGAACTTAGTAAGTTAGTATGCTATTTCACAATACAAAGTATGAACTAAAATTATTAGAATGGTGGCATAATAAGAATTTTAAAATGTGKAAATATGCCCTTAAAAATATACATTAATCCTAGTAACCAGAATATAGTATATTATATTAGTATTACGTACGAATCAGGACCAATAGAAAAATGAGAAAAAATAATTGTAAGCTTATAATAAGCGGCGGCAGCAGTATAATATGTACTCTAAAAGTATAGGTAATGAATGTGCAATATTTTGTATTTCTCGAAAAAGAAATTTTGGAAATTTTGACGAAATATTTATTGTTTCAACTTTCAAACAAACCTTTGAATGCTCCTTTCTCTTTTTCCAAAGGAATTTTAAATTTCGTTCTCATTCCACYATATCCAATTTMTCATTTTGATATTCCGTTTAACATTATAGGTACTTATACGCAATTAGATRCCGTATTATTATTCGTTTGGGGAATGAGCATCTAATCTTTTTTTAAATTATTATTATCATCAAAGATTAGCGCAGACTTTGGTCGCAGGGTATTCAGCTGATAAAATGTGCTCTTTAAAAATATAAATGCTTATACCTATACCATTGTCTTAAAAATGTTTATGATAGGAATAATAATTACCATCATTGATTTGTATTATATAATTTATGTATAATATTAGCTGATTCCCTGCACTTTGTTTGCCTTTAATAATGCGTTTTGTGAAAAAAAAAAATCTTATTTCATTTTACGGGACAGATGACGCCACTATCCAGTTAATTTCTATTTTAGGCGTCTGTATAACCAGATCGTCGCTCAAGTGGCACTATCGGCGACAGTCTTAATCGCGTGCACAATTTTATCTTTATCTATTTCATAAGCAGAAGTTAGGCCTATACAACTACGCTTATTAAACCTATTCCGCGATGTATTCTTTTATTTAAAAAAGATACTAAATCGGATGAGTGGTTTCTGAGAACATGCGTAACAAATATTACTATTTTATATACTTACGTTTTATATATACAGATTATATTTTTATTGAAAGGGATAATATAATTTCAGGATTCTTGTCACTTAATTGAACTGTTGTATAAATATCGAACATGGCTGCATGTTATTTCTATTTTTATCATTCTAAAATGGATTATTTTAGTTAGGTAATCTAACCTAAACCTAACAGTGGTGCACACTGGGGCGGGTCAGGGGTGACGACTGACACTCTTCAGAAAATTGGTTGGTGACTGGGTGAGTATGACTGGTTCTGGGTGAATTCGGATGTTATTTTGATAAATAGTTGTTTAATTTATTATTAATTGTATAAAAAGTATAAACTCAGATTTTACTTGTGGGGTGGGTGGGTACCGCGAGATATATATTTTCGACACCCTTGTGAAAAATCTACTGTGCGCCACTGAAACCTAACCGTCTAAAAAAGAGCGCTTTATTCCACGTACCCCGCGCGCACGCTAATTATTATTATTAATATTACTATTACTACCATCTATCTTACATTTTAGCGATTCAAATTTATTTTKATTTCATAATTGTGTACATCTATTGTTCTCAACTATGTCAATTGAGTCTAATTTATTGTCAAGCTTTATTGTGTACTATCCAGCCCATTGATTAGATATAGACATATAGTAAATAAATAATAATAATAATCAATAGCTACCATGACGTCTGGACGGAGCTGGTTGATGAAGTCGACGACGGGCTTCCAGTGGAACAGTGAGTAGTAAGGCGTGCCCTGGAACGTGTCGCCGGCCACCAGGAACAGCGACGGCAAGCCGCTCTCGTTGGCCAATCGCCGTTCATCGCTCACGAATTGGGCGAGCCGGGCGAAGCCGCCGTAACAGCGGCCCAGCGACGCGTCGTCTTCGCGGCACTCGTTGCAGTACAGGTCCGTCTCGTCAAACCGGCTGTGCATGTCGTTGGTGTGCAGCAACACTAGGTCCAGGTCGGCCGCGTCCACGGCGAATGCGGCCACGGCCACGGCGGCCAAACACGCGTAGGCGGCTGTCGGTCTCATTGCGCGCACGCGGTGACGTGTGATGGCGACGATAACCCTACGACACGTAAATGCGCGTGTACGGAGAAAATATGCGAGCACGGTGATGAATTGAATATTTATTTTTAGAAAACAATATAATCKTTCGGTATTCCTCAGTTCTAATGTTGAACCAATTTTGTTTTATCGGACGGATTAAGTTTAWAAAGTTCAACTTTCGGTAGTTGGTGAAAAAAACTGTAATAGGTATACCTGCAGTGCTCGGAACTACTTATAGGTACTCGTGTAACACACTAAACCAACGAATCGCCAGGAACAACGAACTATCATACGGATTTGAATGTTTTCAAAAGTTTGGYAACCTATATATTCAAACGATCCGAAAGTCTGCAATGTTCCTCCAATATTATATTATACTATTATTATAGGAAACGTGACCGCGAACGACGACGCGTCTGCCTAACCAGATCGTCGTTCAAGTGGCACATCGGTGACAGCCTTTTTCGCGTGCACAATGTTTATATTTCCCAACGTACGCGATAACTGTGCGTGACAATCGATTCGATAATCTGGCGTACTAAACAATCGAAAAACGCCACGCTCCGGTGTAGCGTTTCGAGTAGCGACTTGGCGACTGCCGTTTTGCTAGAATTCACACGATTGCCACGTTAAAACAAATAGGAATTATGGCGCCGAAGCGTCATCGGGCACCCGTCGAGTATTTAGTTATTTTATTATTATTATTATGTTTATTCAATTTTGTCGACTGACTGATCACGTGGCGCAGATCTACGGACAAATCCGAACGAATGTTGTGCGTGTCGCGGTTTAAATTTTAAACCACTCACAGCTGCTGCAATCGAGGTGACAATATTACGAGTGCCGTTACACGTATACATTGTTTGCTTGTTTTGTTGGTAGAAGAGACTAGCTACAACGGTGTTTTTTCGTTTCTGTTTCGTTTTATTAAATTAATCTTTTAAAGCTATCTATTTTGTAATATTAACGGTGTCTCGTGACGATGATAACGATGTCCTTTTCGCCYTGACATCGATGACGAACGATGATGGCGGGTATACAGCAAAACACCGCTTAATCAAACCATCCCTCAAGCGGCACTACTGGGCACTGGCGACGGCCTTTTCCGCATGCACAATATTAATATTTTGTATCGCTTGTGATAAATTTGACGTGATAAGACCAGGTTAAGGAACATCGTAAATTGTGCAATTTTACATAATAGGCACTCATGTAATTCGAAATATAAAGTTTTGACGTAAATTATAATAGCAATAATAGGCATTTAAATATTTAGTACAATAAGCCTATAAATTGTATTTCAATAYATTATGTATTATCTAAGCATTTKAATTTGCAATTTTAATGATTTTACTCACAAATCTAACCCCCTAGCATTTGCCAAAATTTAAATTATTTTTACAAATTCAACTGCGATCGTGGTGTTACGGTGTTATTAWGAGTGTCTTTATCTGCATGCACGAGAATACATATTTTTTTTGTAGAAGAGATCTACAACCGTACTGACTTGTTCCCGCGATCTATGACAACGCTGTTTTCCGTTTTCATTTGATATCACTGAATTTATCTTTTCTATACTGTGTATACTATGTGCCAGTGATATGTTAATAATTATTAAAATGTGCTGCAGTTTTCCACTCAATCTGTTCTACCGACGACGGYCTTTTTCACACGGACCATRATATTATATTGCTTACCGTTAGCGATAATTGTGTGACAATCGATTCTACAATTCGTCGTAAAAGCATCGAGCAAACTGTTTTACGTGTCACAATCTGAACAAATATTTTGCGTTTCGGTTTAAATTCTAAATCCACAGCTACAAACGCGGTAGCATTACGAGTGTACTTATACACACACACTCTGTTTGTATAAAAGACCTGTAACATTATTACTGCAGCCGATGACAACTCTATTTTTCGTTTTTGTTGAATCGACGATCGTTTTCGAATCGATTATTTATATTCTATGCCGATGATATACAAGTACTACATCAATGTCTGACTAGACCTTCGCTAGAACGGCACTACCGCATGGWCAGCCTTTTTCGCATGGACAATAATATATTATACCTAGCGTTTGGTGTTCGCAACATCTATATGACTTTATGGGACAGTCGATTCGATAATAATTTGTCGTAAAAATATTGTAAAACATTTAGTAGTGAGTTGCGTGATATGTGTGTGACTACTGTTTTATCGTTTTATGCGCTTCATTTTATAAGTATAGTTGTGTATAGTAATAATACTTTAAAGTTGAAACATATAATAGAGATTTAAGGTTTAACGTAAAGTATATATTTTAAATATTTAATTAAATGAGCCTAATTTGTTCTGTACACATAATTTAAAATCTGTCCAAAAAATTGTAGTTTAAAGGTTTTAATCATAAATGACCCGTTTCCASCACAACACCTGTCACAATTGAATTTGTTTTTCAAATTCTGCTGCAATCTCGTGGTGGTTTACGAGTGTCGTTATACGTAAACATTGTAAAAAATATACCTACAAATACAATCTTATTACAATGATCATCTATGGCATATGACAATGGCACTCTCTTTTTTCCTTTTTTGTTCGATTTTATCAAATATATCTATTTCTATATAGGTACTGTGCCTGCAGTGATACGATACTATATATATACTTATATACAACACTGTCTAACCAG